TGCAGCACGGACCGACACCAGGAGGGTAAGGGGCTGATGGAGCTTAAGGGCTTGTCAAGTTGTCAAAAAAACCCCAAGACCCATGGGTGGTCACCTTGTCAGTGCCTGAAAATAAGAATGAGTTTTGTGGAAAAAGGTCAGGCTTGAAGACTTTTGCCAAAAAGAACTGGACTGTGCCCATGTTTTGGTGGTTTTCATTTTTTTGGGAGACATCTTTAGTTGAACTCCCTCTGCTCCATAAAATCTTTCTTTTTAATGTGGTGGGAGTTTATTGTGCCCAGAAACACTGTTCTTCAGGAGCATAAAATTGGGTGAATTTGAGGCTTCTCATCGAACAGCATCCCAGTAAAACCATTACATTTCCCAAGCAAAATGTGAACCAGCCCAGGCTGCGTTTCCTTTCACATCAGGACCTCAGCCCTGCTGTCCCCCAGCGAGCACTGACCCACATCCCTAATTTAAAACCCAGCAGCTTTGCTCACTTTCTTATCTGTCCTCAACGCCTCTCCCCAGACGATCACCTACCAGGCCATACTGACCACCGACGGCTTCAGGTCCTACATCCTGATGCTGTACCAGGAGGGAGGCATGCAGTGGGATTATACCAGGCTGTCTGCCACCAACGTGCTCATCGGCTACACCAGGTACAGCAGGCTCAGCACCCTACCGCTGCCTCCTCTGAGCACCAGGCTGTGTCTCACCCCCAGCTCCGGCTGGTTTAATCCTTCCCCGATGTCCCATGAAGAGCCCTGCAAGGATGAGGGCAGCCCAGATAGGGTCTGCACACTCATATAGCCTAACATACGGGGGTCCCATGACCAAATTTGTCCCGTTAGTGGTTGGATCATTCTGCAGCACGCTGACTTGCTGGGCTGTACTTGTAAGATCCCCTCTGCAGTCCCAAGGCCACAGCATTCTGGTGGTTTGAGTGGAAGGCATGGGGAATAGGGGATGTTTGCTGAACTTTGCACCAGTCAAGGGAAGGGATTTCCGCCGCTCGACCGGAGGGGTTGCTTCCTGCCTCCTCACATTACATCTTGCCCAGTTCACACTGTCTCTGGGGTTTGCTCATTAGCTGCGTGCTGCAGCTGGGTAAGGAAAAGGTGGCTGGGACGGGAAGCGCGGGCGGCACAGGCATGCGTGTGTGCTTGCCTCTGCATGACCGCTCACAGGTCTCCACTCGCTGTTACCCTGCAAGATGCTAGAAGCCGCAGAGGCTGCCCATGGGGGTCTGGAGTTGTCCATGGGTTCAGCCCATAACACAACAGGAGTGTTTGCAGCACCCAAAACTAAACACCCTCTAGAGAGGAGGCAGCGGACTGTGGGAGCTGGTGCCTTTGCCCTCCCATTCCCAAAGCCATGATTTGGGTGCCGTGGGGTCCCGCTGGCTCGGGATCAAGGCAGCTGAAGGGCAGGCGGGGGCTGGGGGTGGGATAAGCCCACCCAGAAGATCAACCTCTGATTTTAACCCTTTCCTCTGCACGCAGCGGGGATGGCTTTTACCGCAATGATGACCTGACTCAGAGACCTCCAGCCGCTAAATATCGCCCTGATCAGTTCAGGGGCTACAATACAGGTAGTGCTGCACAGCCAGGGCGAGTTCACATGGCCCCTCCGGAGGTCGGGGAAGAGCTGCGCAGGGAGGGGGATGTTTCCAAGGGATGAAATCCAGCCTGCCTCTGTGGCCAGGCTCTTACTGAGTTCACCAAAGCCAAGCTTTCCCCTCAAGCACATAAAATGCCTCCCCTGGGTGCCAGCTATGCCCTGAGGCTGAAACATGTTCATGGACCCTTTTTGTCACAATGGCTCTGTCCCAAGGCTTTCTTCTTTGGCAAGAACCTCTCCTCCTTTTTCCATGGTGCTGGGTGGCTGTTGGACACGGGGTTCCACAACTGGGGGTCAATGCTGCCTTAGCTTCCAAGCATCAGCATCACCTGAAACCTGCCCCTGCGGTCACCTTGGCCAGAGGTGACAGTTGACCGTTTCTCTCCCTGCTCAGACCTCCGCGGACTGTGGATTTACAAGCTGGAGAGCCGCGTGGGTATCAACTACCGACTGAAGTGCCTGGCGTGGACGGGCATGGAGCCAGGGCCTGCCTGCCTGCCCCTGCTCCCTGCAGCAAGGGCAGCAGGACCCACGCTTCAAGAGCAGCCGGGAAGGCAAGTGGACACACCGCTTCCCCAGGCTCCTCGTCCCTGAGCTGTCCCTTCTCACCTCCCCTGCAAGGGTGGATGGTGTCCCTCTGGCCAAGTGGGCAGGGAACCCCAAGGAAAGTGAGGGGGGATCTTCCCTTCCTTGCAGAGACAGGGAAAATGGGAAGGAATGAGGGCTGACCTGTTTCTGTCTTGTTAGATTGGCTGGAGCTGGTCTAAGCTGCATGGGGATGGTGGGGATGGACCCTCCCTAGCACCAGGGTTTCACCTTGAGGGACAACTTGAATGGTCTCCATCAGTCTCTCCGAATCACCTGTAGCACCGTGGGTGATGTGGTGGGAGCGATGGACAACAAGAAGCCAGGCCCAGCCCCGCTCCTTGCCCTGAGACAGGGTGCTGGTCTGGGAGAGCTGCTCCGAGGGCTCACTGCCGGCCCCTTGCAGGCTGGTGGGCTGCCCGCGTCTCCATGCTGCACTCCGCCTCCCCCAACCAGTACGGCGCCGGCGTCCGCTGCCTGTACAACAGCCAGAGCCAGCTCATCGAGGGGCGGCAGGAGAGGTACTGGAGGTCCTCCAGGCAGGCGTCCCCTTACCGCGGTAAGCACAGAGAGCCCTGGTGTCCCCCAGCTGAGGCTGGCATCGCTGTAGCCTGTAAATCATTTTAATCTCTGTGCCAGCCTCTTTCCTGACATGCTGTTGCCTTTGGAGGGAGCGCGGACCTGCCGAAGGCCGCAGTGAGCACCCTGTCTGCCCGGAGCCGGCCCATCTCCCTCTGCTCTCCCCTTCAGCCCTTTACTTTCCATTTTGCCTCCAGACCAGGAGCTGAAGTTGTACAACTGGTGCTGTAACCAGGCAGGCAGTGCCCGCCTCTGCGCCCGCTACAGCGAGAAGAGACCGAAGATAGGCTGTGATGGATACCGGTCACCCGGCACAGGTGGGTTTGCAGCCTGTGTGTGCCAGGGTGATGCCACCTTGGTGCCCAGGGTTGGGGGGAACACCTCAGCCACCCCATGGTTAAGGCAGCAAGAGCCCCGGGCAGATGAGGGATGGGTTTTGGAGTGCTGATGTGTGGGTGGTGCTGTGCCCTGGGCTGCGCAGGTTTGCGGGTGGGCATCTTCCTTAGCGCATAACCACCAATGTGGTCTGGAGGTGACAGCAGCGGGAGGGGAGGGGGATGGCAACTAATGTGATTGTCGGTGTGAGCTGATGTGGGGCATCTTGCAACTCCCAGCAGGTTCCTCAGAGGAGGCAAAGAGCGACTCGGAGGAGGAAAGAGTTGATTCGGCTTACGGGTATCCTCTCCACCGGCTGCTTCCCACTGTCCCTCATCCCTTCCATGTAGAAACTCCCACAGGGCTCCCAGCTTGCCCCAAGCTCCCGGGGAGGAGGTGGCCAGGCAATCCTCTTTCCTTCTTCTTTGCAGATGCAGAGGACAAGTAACTGGGGCATTGCACATCTGCAACACGGTCTGGGCCACGGCTGATCCTCCGAGTCCTTTGCTCTTGCTCAACTGTGTCCCCCCACTACCCCCAGCACCCATCACCCCTGCCTACCATGAAGGGCAGTTCACTCGGCTGGTGCCTGTGGTTGCCTTCACTGGCACAAATTCATTTTTCTAACTTGGACTTGTCACAAGAAGTCAGTTGCTTTACTTGTCTTTCCCAGCTGCAGCTGAGCGGGTGCCTATGGGCACTTTTTTGCTGCTGGGAAGTTGGGCAGGTACTCCCCACCACATACACCCCCCTGTCCTCCCTGCATCCCACTGTGCCTCCCACGCTGCAGGGTGAGGTTGCCCCCCCCCTGCACCCAGGGAATGGGTTTTTGCACCTTGCGTGGGTCAACTGCAGCTGAGCCTCTGAGTGCTGTGGTGCACCAGGCTCGCCCCATCAGCCAGTCCTGTCTTGTCCCCTCCTTGTGTCCCCCAGCCCTCCGTCCCTGGGCGGTCCCTGGGCTCTGTGCCCAGAAGAAGAGGCGATCCTCCAGATCAAGCCAGAGTCTGCTTGATGCCTCTCCTGGGTGTGCGAAGGCAAAATTCAACCCTGTGATCAAAAACATTGGGAGAAAAATAATTTTTTTGTGCGTAAGAGAACGTCTGCCTCTCTTAAAAAAAAAAAAATAATCATTGCCAAATCTTGTTTGTTCAATAAAGCCTCTGAGGGGTTTGAGCATCACTGATCCTGCGGCAGCCACGTCCTTTGCGGTGGCGGGGGGGCGGCATCGCAGGATGCTGCTGCCCTCTGAGCTGGGGCTGTGAGTGGCTGGGCTGGGGCTGAGCTGGGCTCTGGGGCACTGGGGCTGGAGCTGGAGTCTGCCGGGGTCTGACACACCCTCCTTGGGCACAGCATCTTCCCTCAGCACAGACAAAGGGCTGGGGGGGGTGTTTGTGGGGACCACAGCCCGACATGTGTGGTCTGAGCTGCTGCGAGCGGTGCCTGGGGAGAGCAATGAGGGCGGGTCATGGCTTCAGAGGGGAATGAGGGGATGGAGCAACCGAAAAAGCTACATCCATCTTCTCTTTGGCCCTGTGGATGGGACCAGCAGAAAGCAGGGAGTCGAGAGCTCGGCGGCAGGGAAGCAGGGCTGGCGCAGGGCACCGTATGGTGCAGGTAACTTCCTCAGCAGCATGCCATCATTTTTGGTTTATTCTACTTTGTTACTAATGAGTTATAACCACTGCATTGCCCCGCCTGAGTCTGCTGCCAGCAGCTCTGCCGGGCCCAGTGGCACGGCACCAGGACACGCTCCGGTGCAGACTCACTCAAGGACTATCCTGGTTGCTTCTGCAGGTCCTCAGGGAAAGGTGAAATCCTCCCACTTTGTCCACTCAACATAAAATCACGTTTTTCACTCAGAAAAAGCACGTCCCCCAGAGTGAATCCTCCTGCAAAGACCAGACCCCAAAAGGCACCTGCCCATCCTCTGCCTCCACGCAGGTGCCGGTGCCAAAGACCCAGAGAGCAGGTGGCGGGGCCAGCAGCAGCGGCTGGTTCCTCTGTGAGCCTGGGGGTGCCAGAGCAGGACCGGTGGCAGTCTAGGGCTGCTGGAGGGGCTGGCCAGGAGGCCCGAGGTGGGGTCTCTGGATCATTATCTGTAAAGGAGGGACAGGCCATGCCGTGGGGTCAGTGCCGCACAGGCTCTGCTCTTCACCACGAGCTCAGACAGCAGTGCAGCCCCCAAAGCCAGCCGAAGCATCCCTGATGCTCCGGGGTGAGGCATGGCTCTCAAGCATCTTTGAGGCACAGGGTCATGACAACCCACGGCCCCCCCAACCCCAACACCCCACAGGGACGACAACCCCCGGGCAGACCTGGACTGAGGGGTCGATGGCCTGGAGCTGTGGTTCCCAATGCCTTTCCAGGGAGTGGGAGCAAGTGGGCTCTCCCCACTCTCCTGCTGCTGTCAGAGCTGGAGCGGGAAAATTAGCAAAGCTTGAAGAAGACCAAGGTGAAGCAGAGCTGGAGTGGGGGGGGTTTTGCAGGGATGTACTCACAGGAGAAGGGTCGTGGTCTCCAGAAGGTCTCCTTGGCCCTAGGAGAGGGGGACAGAAAGGGGACAACATGTCAGGGGGGGCTGGGAGAGCCCCTGCCTGGTACTGGCACCTGGGTCAGATAGAACTGGGGGAGCAGTGACCAAGTGTGGGGGTGAGATGGGGCTATGAGAGGAGCAAAAGCCCCAGTTGTTGTGCACACATAATTTCTCGCCTTGCCACAAGCACCAACGAGCAGATTCCTAGAGAGCCCTGGCTCCAGGGCCGGCAGGGAGCCAGCAGCAGGGGCAGACACAGGTCTGACCGGTGCCGGGGGGCTCGGGGTGCTGATCTTCCCCCGAGTGTGGATGCTACTCCAGGACCAAGGACTGGGGCAGAGGGAAGGAGATGCTAGTGCTTCCACACCAGCCTTGCACCTCGTCAGCTGCCTACTGACCCCCTGCTCTGCAAAAGAGCAAGGTCCAGTCCTGCAGCCGTCTTTATCTTGCTCCAGACCAACTCTTTCCAGAACGTGAATTGCAGTGGAAATCATTTGGATGGCATTCAAATTAAAATTAAATAGAAAGCCTGGCTGTAACTGAGCACTGGGTGGGATGAGGAAGAAATGCAAATATTCCCTGCCATGGGGGAAAGGGAAGCTTATGTTCAAACCACTAATGCTATCACACCCCTGAGGAGCAGATAACTGGGAAAGGGGCTGGAAGATGCTAAAAGATCACCCAGCCCAGCCCCTTCCCCAGGGGAGGCTTCCCCTGCCCAGGCCAGATGGGTCCCACCAGTGGTGGACCTTCTGGAGATGAATTTTCCACCAGATTTTTGGGCAAAGCTCTTCCTGACACTCCACCTCCATTCCCTGCTGCACCCACAGCACCCACCCCTGTGTGGCTCCAGCCCACGGCTCACCCTTGGTGCCAGCAGCGGTGCCCACAGCAGAGGCGCGAGGCCAGGCAGGCGGTGGTGAGCAGGAGGCAGAGCAGAGCCAGGGCTCCCAGCAAGATGCCAAGGAAGGCAGCGAGGCTGATGGCCAGCCGCTCGCACCGAGCACCGGCAGGGGAGAAGATGGGGAAGGGGGGGGCG